CCTTTGTGTGACTCAGGGCTCTGGTACCCAGCTGTACTAGTAGTCGTGTTCTTTACTGCGGTATGCTTTCAGTAAGAAATAAAAGGAAAGATTGCCAGTTTTAGTTGAGTGTTCTTGATGATACTGTAAAAATGATTCGCTTGATTAAATCTTGACTTCTAAGCATGCATATTTTTGGTGTGCTGTGCCGTGAATGAGCATGGCCCTAAGGAACTTCTGTTACTCTCAAAGTGCGGTGGTTGGTGGGGCACTGGAGCTCACGCCTGTCATCCTAGCTCTTTCAGAGGCGGAGACGAGAGGACTGCTTGAGCCCAGGAGTTTTGAGACCAGACTCGGCAACATGGTGAGACCTTGCCTCTGCAAAAATAAAAACATTAGCCAGGTGTGGTGGCACACGCCCATAGTCCCAGCAACTTGGGAAGTTGAGGTGGAAGGACTGCCTGAGTCCAGAAGGTCAAGACTGCAGCAAGCCATGATCATGCCTGCCTTCCAGCCTGGGTGACAGAGTGTCATTTGTATGATTGAATGATGAGCTGAACGTGTCACTTTTCTTCACAACATCAATTTTGCTTGAAAGACTGACTGACAAACTGGTTATTCATACTTGAATAATTGACAGATATATTCTCAACAGTGAATGAAGTGAGTCTATCACCTCAAGGAAACAACTAATATTTGTTGATTTCTGATGAGAGCCAGGCTCGGTGGCTCAGCCTGTAATCCCACGCTTTGGGAGGCCGAGGTGAGTGAATTGCCTGAGCGCGCGGGTTTGAGACCCGCCTGGACAACTTGGCGAGATCTCATCTCTACAGCAAATCAGAAAAACTAGCCAGGCGTGGTAGCACGCGCCTGTAGTTCCAGCTCCTTGAGAGGCTGAGGCGGAAGGATCACCGGAGCCCAGCAGGTCGAGGCTGGGGTGGCCGGAAGTGGCCACTGCGCTCCAGCCTGGGCGACAGAGTGAGACTCCGACTCCAAAAAAAAAATTTTTCTGATGAGAGCAGTGTTGATATTAACCGTAGGATTTTTAAAATCTTGTATACTGAAGTGTGCTAATATTTGGATAATGCATATAACTCACTGAACCAGTATTTTTCAGATGGCTGGTACGTAAAGTTACAAAGTCACACGGGAGTAAGAAGTCCATTTAAAGCATTAGATAGACCAGTGAGTTTTAATGTAGCAAAGTACAAAGGGGTCATTGATAAGGTTTCAGGTTCTGCATTGCAACTCATCTTTAAGAAACTAGCATGTGTTGAAGTTTGGAGTGGTATCAAACATGAATATCCAGAATTATCTGAAAAGACTCATAAAATATGATTTCCTTTTACCACTTTGCTGTGTGTTTGGATTTTTTTCATATACTTCACTCAAAGTAACAAACAGATTGAGCACAGAAGCAGATGAGAATTTAGCTTTTTCCCCCCTTATTATTGCAGATATCAAAGAGACGTACAAAATGTAAAAGAATGACACTCTTCTCACTAATCCTTTTTGTATTTGGAAAATATAGTTGTTTTGATAAAAATATGCTTATTTATTCTTTTTTTTGAGTCAGAGTCTCACTCTGTCAACCAGACTGGAGTGCAGTGGCACACTCATGGCTACTGCAGCCTCGACCTGCTGGGCTCAGGTGATCCTTCTGCCTCAGCCTTCCAAGTAGCTGGAACTACAGGTGCATGCTTCCATGCCTAGCTAATTTTTTGATTTATTGTAGAGACGAGGTCTCACCAAGTTTCCCAGGATAGTCTGGAACCCATGGGTTCAGGCAATCCTCTCACCTCAGCTTCCCAAAGTGCTGGGATTATAGGCGTGAGCCACTGCGCCCCGCCTTAAAAATATGTTAATGTTTTATTTATTATTTACTTATTTATTTGAGTTGGAGTCTCACTCTGTCACACAGGTCGGAGTGCAGTGGCACGCTCAAGGCCACCGCAGTCTCAACCTATTGGACTCAGGTGATCCTTCTACCTTAGCCTTCCAAGTAGCTGGAACCACAGGCGTGTGCCACCATGCCTGGCTGATTTTTTGATTTATTGTAGAGACGAGGTTTCCCCAGAGTACAACAACTCCAGGCTGGAGTACAATGGCAAGGTCATAGCTATTGCAGCCTCGACCTGCTGGGCTCAGGCAATCTTTCCACCGCAGCCCTCCAAGTAACTGGAACCAAGGCATGTGCCACCAAGTCTGGCTGATTTTTTGACTTATTGTAGAGATGAGGTCTCACCATGTTGCCCAGGCTGATCTTGAACCACTGAGCTTAGGTAATCCTCTCGCCTCAGTCTCCCAAAGTGCTGGGATTCCAGGCGTGAGCCACCGTGCCCAGCTTGTCAATGTTTTAAAATGAATTAATAGAAATGTTAAGTGTTTTTTAGTTTTGATTTCTTTTTTTCTTGAGTCAGAGTCTCACTCTGTTGCCCAGGCTGGAGTGCAGTGGCATACTCATGGCCACCACAGCCTCGACCTGCTGGGCTCAGGCAGTCCTTCCACCTCAACCTTCCAAGTAGCTGGAACTACAGGCATGCGCCACCACGCCTGGCTAATTTTTTGATTTATTGCAGAGATGAGGTCTTACCAAATTGCCCGTGGGCTCAGGTAGTCCCTCTGCCTCCCAAAGTGCTGGGATTACAGGCTTGAGCCACCAAACCTGGCTCTTAGGTTTGATTTCTACAGTAAATATTGGCCAGGCACGGTGGCTTATGCCTGTAATCCCAGCACTTCGGGAGGCTGAGGCAGGAGATTGCTGGAGCCCCAAGAGTTGAGACTAGTCTAGGCAACAGAGTGAGACCTTGTTTCTACATAAAAACAATTTTTAAAAACGAGCTGGGCACAGTGGTGTGTGCCTGTAGTCCCAGATACTCAGGAGGCTGAGGTGGAAGGATCGCTTGAGCCCAGAAGGTTGAAGCTCCAGTGAGCTGTGATTGTACACTGCACTCCATCCTGGGCGACAGTGAGACCCTAACTCAAAACATATTTATATATTAATAAATACAGTCCACATAACTTGAGAACTTGGAGTTCTCAAGTTTTAAGAATGTATAGGGGTATTGAGATTTTAAAACTTTGAGAACTGCTGCCTTAAAAGTATTACATTTCCAGCCCGGGCAACTTGGTGAAACTTTGTCTCTACAAAAAATAAAAAAAAAATTAGTCGGGTATGGTGGCCTGCGCGTGTAGTTCTAACTGCTTGGAAGGCCGAGGCAGAAGGATCACCTGAGCCCAGCAGGTCGAGGCTGTGGTGGCCATGAGCGTGCCACTGCACTCCAGCCTGGGTGACAGTGAGACTCCACCTCAAAAAAAAAAGAGTATTAAGTTTAACTTGGGTGCTCATGCCCATAATCCCAGCACTTTGGTAGGCTGAGGTGGCAGGCTTGTTTGAGCCCAGAGTTCTGGACCAGCCTGGGCAACTGTAACACGGTCAATCCTGACACGTAACCTTGACCCTGTACAGTGAAACCAGAGATGTGTCCACGGTGGGAAGGTTCTGGTCTGTTCACCCATGCAGGAACCTTGACCGAGATGGAGGGTTTTCAGTGCTTTGTTTCTGTCCCTGGTGGGCCAAGTCACTGATCCAGCAGAAGCCTCTGGGGTTCCACTCGCCTTATTTCAGTATATGGAAGAGCAGGACTCTTCTGACCTGTAAAGGGTATGGAGTGTGTATTTTCAGAAGACGGTATTTTCCTTTCGTTTGTATAGTTTGGGTTTGGGCTTGATTAAGGATTGCAGGAAAGCCTCTGCCACCCCTGGTGTTTTAACTTAGAGTGACTGTCTTAAATCGACTCAAAGGCCCTGAGGTGAGGACAAGTTCTGACCTCACTGGAAGCATCTTCACCTGTGGTTGGTTTACTGTGTATCCCTTTTTATTGCAAAATGTAAGACGGTTGAAGGACTAGGACACCTCAGCTGACTCTGAAGACTCACCTACCCTGTGTGTGAGTAGGCGGGTGGGGGCCGCAGGTCCGTGTGTGTGGTGTCTCGCAGGCCTGTCTTTGGGTGGGGGTGGAGGGGCAGGAAGATTGCTGTCAGAACCAGCAAAGCAGGCTGGGTAGCTCTGGTTTCCATTGTGACATGCTTGCCTGAGTGTTGGGTGCAGAGTGGTGAAAATGGAAGTCTCAAGTCACATGTGATTGAACCATCTTGACCTCTTGAGGCCAGTGACTGGTCTCGTGATCAGCCGACGGCAAAGCTGACAGGAAGAGGAACTAGACTATATTAAATTGATGTCATCGTTGAAACAATAAGAACGTGGCTTTTCTGAAGGAACTTTTCTAAGGAGATGGCCATAAAACAAAAGGCACCCATCCGTAGCTTACTAAATATTGCCAGAGGGCTTTGTATCTTAACCATCTGCTTGTTGAGTCTGGCTTGTTCCAAAGATAACATCTGAGTGTTAATACAAGATTGATGGGTCACTATGTTATTTAATCTAGAACCTGTTTGTAGCCTCAGATGGTGTGTGGACGTGTTGGTAACAGTTGTAGTCAAGATTTGTTTCCCAGGATCCATTGACTTTGTTTTGGGGATGTTTAGGCTCTCCTCACAGTTCACGCTCTCCGTGGCTTCAGATCCCAGTTGGCGTCAGCATGGTACGAAGTCAGTTCTACATCTCCATGTGGCCTTTGTTGCCTGGACTTTATGTGAGCAACACTTTATCCCTTGATCACAGGGCCTGGCTCTCAGTCGGGACTCGACTGGCTTCCTGTCGGTGAACTTAGCAGTCTCTTTAGTTCAAGTCTTAAATTTTATTTTATTTTATTTTTTTTTCAACTTTTAATTTTTTTATCTTAAAGATGTAGGGTACAATTCGGGGTTATGTATACAGGTGTTCATTATGCGGGTACCCTCGTTGATGAGGAATTCCCGAAGTTTAAAATGTGGCTTCGCTCATTAGTTGACAATCAGTTGGTTTCGGTGGAGGTGTTTGTGGCCAAGGGCTGGGAGAGTAGGAAGAAGTAACAAAGTTAACTCTGCCTCTTTTTCCTTACAGGGTCTTTGAAAAGGACATGCCGTCCATTGGGATGCTGAGGCAAGCCGTGGGCCAAATGGTGCGGAGCCTGGCCTGTGGCTGTTGGACATCTGTCCTGCCAGTCCGGTTTCTGGGCGTCTCCCCTCGACAAATTCCAGCAGACGCCAACTTCCACTCTGCCTCTTTCTCTGAAACAGACCATCCACGAGTCTTAATTACAGGTTGGTTTTTTCTTTTTCCCGACTTTGTGGCTTCTTTCTTGTCTGTGCTGCTGCTTTGTGACTGTGCCTTTGCTTTTGAAGTGTGCAATATGCCATCCGAATCTCCCTGTCCCGCTTGTCCCTGTAGCAGATAATACAGCAAAAACAGGCTTGGCTAGGTGACATCCAGAGTCTTGATTTATTTGCTACACTATGAAAAGGATTTCAGAATATGAGGTTTCTCATAATACACAATTTTTAATTACAGCAGCTAATCTTGTTGATCAGACACTGCCTTTTTCTTTTCTTCTTTTCTTTTGAGTCTCACTCTGTCGCTCAGGCTGGAATGCAGTGGCACACTCACAGCCACCACAGGCTCAACCTGCTGGACCCAGGTGACCCTTCTGCCTCAGCCTTCCAAGTAGCTGGAGCCACAGGCATGCATCATCATGCCCAGTTGATTTTTTAAAAAAAATTTATTGTAGAGACACCGTCTCGTCATGTTGCTCAGGCTGGTGTTGAACCCCTGAGCTCAGGAAATTCTCTTGCCTCCACCTCCCAAAGTGTTGGGATTACAGGTGTGAGCCACCACACCCAAATGCCTTTTTCATTGTTGGCTTTTTCTATAGTATTGTAAATCTAAAATCCTTATGTTATCACTGTTGTGCTTGGTTTCCCCGCGATAATTCTATTATTGTTGGAAGGGACCTAGGAACCTGGGGGCCGAACAGCTGCTCTGGAACTTGGTTCCTTTCCATATTAGGATCAGTCTAGGGAGTGAAGGCTGATGGTTCGGAAGGGTGCCGGGACTAGAGCATTGATTCTGGAGTCAGGCATGCCTTTCCTTGGCCAAAATTCTCAACCTAAACTCGGAGTTATTCATCCCAAACTGTTACGCATGTTTGTGTGGAAATAGAGATGATAAGTTATTGTCTGCCCAAAGACCTTGTTGCCATCAAGCTCATTGTCACCATCGAGGTTGTCATCACCATCGTTGTCCTTGAGCTCATCGCTGTTGAGCTAATCTTCGCCGTTGAACTCGTCGTCGCCGTTGAGCTCATTGCCACTGAGCTCATCATCATCATCAAACTTATCATCCTCGTGGAGCTCATCATGGTCCTTGAACCCACTGTTACCATTGAGCTTGTCATCACCATTGTTGTCGTTGAGTTCACCGCCATTGAGCTCATTTTCACCACTGAACTCATTGCCATTGAGCTCATCTTCGCCATTGAACTTGTCGTCGCTGTTGAGCTCATCTTTGCCATGGAACTCCTCATCGCCATTGAGCTCATCTTTGCCGTTGAACTCGTCGTCGCCGTTGAGCTCATTTTCGCCACTGAGCTCATTGCCATTGAGCTCATCATCATCATCGAACTCATCATCCTCGCGGAGCTCATCATGGTCCTTGAACCCACTGTTACCATCGAGCTTGTCATCACCATCGTTGTCGTTGAGTTCACCGCCATCGAGCTCGTTTTCACCACTGAACTCATCGCCATTGAGCTCACCATCCTCGTGGAGCTCATTGTCATCTGTGAGCCTATTGTCACCATCAAGCTCATCATTACCAGACTCGCTGCCTGACCCTCCGTACCTTGAACATGATCATTACCTGATTCTGTACCCTTCTCACTCCAGACCTTGCTCTGTGGCGTCCAGCCAACCCAAGTCCATCTCTGACTTGATTGACACGTTTTATCTCTTTCTCCTCCCTCCAGGTTTTCTTCCCTTGGCTTTACATCATTTTCCTTTTTACTTTCCTCACGATTTTCTCTCTGTTTCTCTTCTTTTCTCGGGGGGGTTCTCACTCTGTCATCCAGGCTGCAGTGCAGTGGCATGATCATGGCTCACCACAGCCTCGACCTCCTGGGTTCAGGCAACCCTTCTTCCTCAGCCTCCTGAGTAGCTGGAACTAGGTACATACCACAATGCCCAACTAATTTTTTATTTTATTTATGTATTTATTTTGTAGAGATGAAGTCTCACCATGTTGCATAGGCTGGTCTCAAATTGCTGGACTCAAGCAGTCCTCCCGCCTTGGCCTCCCGAAGTGCTCAGGTTACAGGCATGAGCCATCGTGCCTGGTCTCTTTGTGTGCTGCAAATGAGTTTCAAGCGTAGTCGATTTCCCTCTGTGCTTTTCCTAATTCACCCATCTTGCTGTATGTGTGCTCTAGTCCCTTCTGTCTTCACTAATGTCAGACCTTTCGCAGTGCCTGGTTTTATTCCCATGTCAACCAATGTTTACGGGAAATCTTACTTTTATATGTTTTTGCCTCATTAGTTTCTCCCAGATGAAACGTACTGTTGTCCTCTCCCAGAGGTGCTCCTAGCCTCCTGGCTCTCCCATTTCTATCAGTGGCAACTTTAAGCTTCTAGATCAGGAAAATTTCCCGTTTGTTTTTAACTTTCTTCGTGGCTTGTCAGTGTGGTTATCTGCCCTTTTTTCAGAGGATTTCTTGGTTTGTCCCTGTCTCCTTGTCCTTTCATACCCCGGTCCATTTATAATGGAGGAGGGGATTCTGTATAATCCCACCAGAGGTTGATCCCAAGCTGTTTGTGTTGGTTTTGAATGAATTTGGCGCCCACAGCATACGAGCTTCAGAGTCAATCAAAATAACGAATGTGGGAGCGAGCTCCAGCTCGGAGAAATGCCAGACCCATGCGTGCCTTTCCTGTGATGTATCTCTTCTTGCTGGAGAGAGTTTTGTCTTTGAAGACAGTATTGGCTGTCCTGATCTCTGTCCTAGGCTGGAGAAGGCCATCATGTGTCCAAAGTGCTCCCCTGCGTCGCCGAGAAGAGTCGAAGGAAGCAGCAGTCGTGCCAGCTCTACCTAGGACTTTTCTAACTAGCTGACATTGAACACTAGTCTCCTTCAGTTATTATATTCTGGGAATCGTTGAACTAGTTAGATTTTAATTGAAATTCCCCTTTTTTCTTCTTCATCCAGGGGGTCTTGGCCAGCTGGGAGTGGGGCTTGCTACCCTTTTGAGGTAAGAGCCCTAAAAACTTAAAAGTTGATTTCTTAGGTCTGCGAAGCTTGTCTTGGATGCCATTTAACTTTCTTCTTTCTCGCCTCTTTCCCTCTACCGTTTTTGTTTGTTTGTTTGTTTGTTTTGAGTCAGAGTCTTACTCTGTCACCCAGGCCGGAGTACAGTGGCGTGCTCAGGGCCACCACAGCTTCGACCTGCTGGGCCCCAGTATCCTTCTGCCTCAGCCTTCCAAGTAGCTGGAACTACAGGTGCGCGCACCATGCCTGGCTAATTTTTTGATTTATTGTTGCGACAAGATCTCTCCAAGTTGCCCAGACTGGTCTCAAACCTGTGGGCTCAGGCCATCCTCTCACCTCGATCTCCCAAAATGTTGGGATGCTAGGCATGAGCCACCGCACCCAGCAACCCTCTACCGTTTTTAAGATAGCGTATCTAGCCAACTGCTTAAAACACATTTCATTTTGCTTTTTAATATCACAGACTCATTGCGGGCCCTTTGCTGAAATTAGCATCTCTAGACTGTCTCCTCTGCTCTCTGCTGTCTCTCTTGGGGTGAAGAGAGATGCACAGCTCTGAGTGAATCGCTTGGCTTTTTGTTGTTTGGACGCAGAGGGACGTGCAGGGAGAAATTGGAAGTGAGCAGTGTGGGATTTGGAGAGAGGAGGATAATAGAATAAGAGGAGGGTAGAGAAGAATGAGGAGGGAGGGGTAAAAACTCTAGGGGTAAGGGGAGAAATTGGCGACGGCCACAGGGTCAACGGGGGGGTGAGAATAGAAACAGAAGATGGGGTGGTGGCCAGGCACAAGCGGCCTGAGCGTGAGAGAGGCAAGAACTGAAGGCGTGGAAGAGGAAGGAGGGATTTGGAGGCTGACAAAATTACAGTTCCTACTTAAAAAGATTGCTTTCATAGGGTCTGTGGTACCCTAGATGTTGCCCGTTTGTACGTTTTGATTCTCCCTTTAGGAAGCGATTCGGGAAGGACAATGTGATTCTGTCTGACATAAGGAAGCCCCCTGACCATGTCTTCCAAAGTGGTAAGCGATCCGTAGGTCATGTTTGGTTTTCATCGTTCATATTCGAAATGCAGTTAAGGGGTGGGTCATGGAACTGGTGCGTGTGGCAGCTCATAACCAGGTTTGTGAATCAAAGAAAGGGAAGTTATTGGCCGGGAGTGGTGGCTCACGCCTGTAATCCCAGCACTTTGGGAGGCAGAGGCGGGAGGATTGTCTGAGCCCAGGGTTTGAGACCTGGGCAACGTGATGAGACCTCATCTCTACAAAAAATACAAAATTAGCCAGACATGGTGTGCTTACTTGGGAGGCTGAGGTGGAAAGGTTGCCTGAGCCCAGCAGGCCAAGGCTGTGGTAGTCATGAGGGTGACATTGCTCTCCAACCTGGGCGACAGAGTGAGACTCGGACTCAAAAAAAAAAAAAGTTGCCGAGGCATTGTTATGACACTTTAAAATATCATAGATTTTTTTGACCAGACACAGAAGCTCATGCCTATAATCTCAGCACTCTGGTCCTCCTTCCAAGTACTCACCACACCCAAACCTGCTTAGCTTTTGAGATCAGATGAGATCTGGTGCGTTCAGGGTGGGATAGCCATAGAGAATCTCAGCCCTTTGGGAGACCAAAGTGGGAGGATTACTTAAGCCTGGGAGTTTGAGACCAGCCTGTACAGCATAGTGAGAGCTCATCTCTACAAGAAAATTTAAAAATCAGCTGGGCATGTCTATACTCCCAGCTAGTTAGGAGGCTGAGGAGGGAATAGAGCCTGAGCACAGGAGGGCAAGACTGTGGTGAGCCGTGATCGCGCTGCCATGCTCCAGCCGGGATGACAGAGTGAGACTCTGACTCACTGCAAACAGACAAACTTTGATTCCTGACTTTTTTGCAATTTTAGTTAACTTAGTGGCTCAGAGGGGACACAAAAATCAAGTTCTGTAATGAGATAAAAGGCTTTAAAAATTCGGAGAAATTAATCCTGATATTACAATGTAGAATTTCTCTTTTTATTTATTTTTTATTTTTTGAGTTGGAGTCTCACTGTCTCCCAGGCTGGAGTGCAGTGGCAAGCTCATGGCCGCCGTAGCCTCGGTCTGCTGGGCTCCGGCGATCCTTCCGCCTCAGCCTTCCAAGTAGCTGGAACTACAGGCGCGTGTTACCACGCCCGGCTGACTTTTTGATTTATTGTAGAGATGAGGTCTCGCCAAGTTGCCCAGGCGGGTCTCGAACCTGCGGGCTCAGGCAATCCACTCACTTCAGCCTCCCAAAGCGTGAGATTACAGGCTGAGCCACCGAGCCTGGCTAAAAATAAACTTTTTTGTAGAAAAGGGTCTTGTTGTGTTGCCCGGGCTGGTCTCAAACTCCTGAGCTCTGGCAGTCCTCCTGCCTCAGGCTCCAAATGTGCGGCTTTTAATCGAGTGAAATCAACAGCCCCAACTCTGGAACCAGCTGTCTAGTTGAGATCCCAGTTCTTCCACTTGTTTTCTGAGCCTGGCAAGCTGCTTTATTGCTCTGTGACTCAGTTTCCTCGGCTGTAAGCTGTATCTACTGTCAAGGCTGTCTGAGAGAGAAATATACGTAAAGCCCCTAGAATGGTGCTTGACACATCCAGGTACCACAGAAGCATTCGCTATCGGGGCCTTAGGGTGGCTGTGACTTGTTAGTATTCCATAAGAAAAGGATCGCCGGAGCCCAGCAGGGCGAGGCTGCGGTGGCCGGGAGCGGCCCTGCACTCTAGTCTGGGCGACAGAGTGAGACTCCAACTCAAAAAATAAAAATAAAAAAAAATGCTGCATAGCACACGCCTGCATGAGATACCAAACCGCTACCGAAGAAATTCACAAGTCAGTGAGGGAGAGGGGAGAGGTCCACGTAGTTCTTCAAACCCCGGGCTTCTTTCCGTCTGCGGTTTCACTTTGTGTTCCTCGTAGGCCCGTTTATCTATTCCGACATCCTGGATTACAAGAATCTCCGCGAGATCGTGGTCAACAACCGTATCACCTGGCTGCTTCATTATAGCGCTTTGCTCAGTGCCGTTGGGGAAGCGAACGTGTCCCTGGCGAGAGCCGTGAACATCACAGGTAAGCCTCTGGCTCTGACCCGGCCTGACCTGCTCGCCAGCTTTTCCAGTTCTTTGGAAGGAAGAGACTTTCTCGGTTGACGGCGGTGTCTGTTCGTTTCAGGACTGCATAACATTCTGGATGTTGCGGCGGAACATAAGCTGCGGTTGTTTGTGCCCAGCACGATCGGGGCCTTCGGACCCACCTCTCCCCGGAACCCAACCCCGGATCTCTGCGTCCAGAGACCCAGGACCATCTATGGGGTGTCCAAGGTCCACGCGGAGCTCATGGGAGAAGTAAGCCGCGCTCGGCCATAGGGTCGGATGCGCCCTGGGCAAAGCACTCTGTTCTCTTTCTTGTTATGTTTGCCTCAAGCACTTGCTGGTTCCTCCTTGAAGGAGCTCTCGCTTTTCCCCATCTTAGCCTCCAGGGTTGCTTCCTTGCCTCACCGTGTTTGCCAAGAGTCACGAATCCAAAGCTCCTGAACACCTCCTCAGCACGTTTCTGCAGCCGCGTGAGAACACTCACACTTCCTAGGTTCCCCGCGCATGGGTCCCTCTTTTCATCAGCATCTTTTTTTCCTAATTTTTGATTTACGGTAGAGACGAGGTCTTGCCAAGCTGTCTGGGCTGGTCTCAAACCTACGGGCTCAGGCAGTCCACTTGCCTTGGCCTCCCAAAGTGCTGAGATGACAGGCTGATCCACTGAGCCCAACTCATGAACATCTTTTAAAAAATACTCTTGCTGGGCTCGGTGGCTCAAACCTGTCATCCCAGCACTTTGGGAAGCTGAGGTGAGAGGATTGCCTGAGCCCGCAGGTTCAAGACCAGCCCGGGCAACTTGGCGAGTCCTCGTCTCTACGATAAACCAAAAAATTAGCCGGGCATCGTGGTGCACATCTGTAGTTCCAGCTACTTGGAAGGCTGAGGCAGAAGGATCGCCAGAGCCCGGCAGGTCAAGGCTGTGGTGACCGTGAGCGTGCCACTGCACTGAAGCTGGGCAATAGAGAGAGACTCCAACTCAAAAAAAAATACTCTTTGTAGCCATTGCTTTGCTAAGTACTGGTCAGGTCATGTTTCCTAGCTTTGGTCCCTTCCTCTGCCTTGGGGAGGTGAATTTTCTCTCTCTTTCTCTCTTTCTCTCATCTACTTTCTAAATAAGCTATATTTTCCAATCTAAAAAAAAATACTGTTTGTCTGCATAACTCTTTAGTAAATTGTATTCGCTGTCTAGTCCTGGAGCTGACCTATCCTAGTCACTGGTCTTCTCCCATCTACTCTTCCCAATGCTGCAGTGCCAGGACTTACCCACGCAACATTGCTTAGGACGGTGAAAAGAAAGGTCAAAAGTCCCTACTGTAGGCTCATTTGGCATTTGCAGTATTGATGTATCACCAACATGCTGACTCTTTTGAAGATGAAAACTTAAAAGAGTTGTTTGTTGCTGGGCGCAGTGGCTCACTGTCATCCCAGCACTTTGGGAGCAGAGGTGAGAGGATTGCCTGAGCTCAGGGTTTCGAGACCAGCCTGGGCAACTTGGCAAGATCTCGTCTCTACAAAAACCAAAAAATTAGCCGCGTGTGGTAGTGCCTGTCTGTAGTTCCGGCTACTTGGAAGGCTGAGGTGGAAGAATCGCCTGAGGCCAGCATGTCGAGGCTGCGATGACCATGAGCATGCCACTGCACGCCAGCCTGGGCAACAGAGTGAGACTCTGACTCAGAAAAAAAAAAAGAATTGTTTGTTAAAGATAAATAAGCAATTCTTGACAATCCTGACATCTTCACTTTCTTTAGGAGAACTTTAGTATAACTACATGGAATGATATTTCAGAAATGTTATTTCTTTGCATTGCTCTGATGTAAAAGATTCTTTTTTTGAGTAAGATTTCTCTTTTTCATAGTATTACTATTACCGATATGGGTTAGATTTCCGATGCTTGAGATATCCTGGAATCATTTCAGCTGACTCCCAACCTGGAGGAGGAACAACTGGTGAGCGTTGTTTTCTGAGTTTTATATCTTTTGGGTTTAAGATAGGCTCTCCTAGGGCTAGGAAGAGTCTTCTTTGTGGTGGAGGAATCTGCTGTCTCTTTAGCTGTGTGTTGACCAGAGTTTCTATATCCTCTTCCCAATGTGCATCCGAGAAACATGTTGAACACGGTTAACTTACAGCTGTTAAGGGCGGCCCATGCAAGGTTCTTCAGTCCACTTAGAGTTGGCCACCCACAGTGCTGGAATAAAATAGATAATATTCAAGAACAAATTTATTACAGTGTAGGAAGAACCCCCCAATAAGCAGTAGCCTTTTTCTTTGAAATATACAACCGTTGTTTCTCAATATAGGAGAAGCTCTATTGAAATGGACTCTATGTATTACATATTTGAAAGAAGCACAGGTATTATTATTTTGGTCTCAACCACGCATTATATTCAATAAGTCCAACATCAGAGATCCTTTCCATATCAATGGTCCTGAGATACAACTAAAGATAATTGACAAAATCTGAGGGATTTAAAAGGAAGAATCAATTCGGTTACCTTAAAAAAGCTTCTAGCCAGGCTCAGTGGCTCAGTCTGTAATCCTGCACTTTGGGAGGCTGACGTGAGTGGATTGCCTGAGCCCACGGGTAACCCACCTGGGCAACTTGGCGAGACCTCATCTCTACAATAAATAAAAAAAATTAGCCGGGCGTGGTAGCGCGCGCCTGTAGTTCCAGCTACTTGGAAAGCTGAGGCAGAAGGTTTGCCGGAGCCCAGCAGGTAGAGCTTCTGCTTTTTTGAGAATGGTGGGGCAGACAGGATCTCTCGCTCTGTCACACAGGCTGGAGTGTAGTGGTGCAATCATAGCTCACTGTGGCCTCAAACTTCTGGGCTTCAGCAATCCTCCCACCTCAGCCTCCCAAATAGCTGGGATTATGGGTATGTGCCACCATGCCTGGCTAATTTTTAAGCATTTTCTGTAGAGATGAGGTCTTGCCATGCTGCCTAGGCAGGTCTCAAAATTCTGATCTCAAGCAGTCCTCCTGTCTCAACCTCCCCAAATTGCTGGAACTACAGGTGTGAGCTACCATGCCCGACCAAGTTTCTCTTTTTTAATATGGTGCTTCTCCAAGTGTGGTCTGAGGATTTCTGGGAATCTTTGAGACCCTCCCAAAGGGGACAGGGGACCAAAACTATTTCGTTATCAATATTGGCCTTTGTCTCTCTCCTTCTTTCACAAGTGCATTGTGGCATTTTCCAGTGGCTGTGTGGCATGTGGTATTAGAACAGACTGAACGCAGAAGCACATGGGAGGCTCCAGCTGTCCCCTCTCAAGCCAGGCACTAAAGAGGTTTTTAAAATGTAAAGCAAAGCCGGGCTTGGTGGCTCAGCCTGTAATCCCGCGCCTTTGGGAGGCTGAGGTGAGTGGATTGCCTGAGCCCGTGGATTCGAGACCCGCCTGGGCAGCAAGACCTCATCTCTACAATAAATCAGAAAAAAATCAGCCGGGCGTGGTAGCACATGCCTGTAATTCCAGCTCCTTGGAAGGCTGAGGTGGAAGGATCGCGGGATCCCAGCAAGTCGAGGCTGCGGTGG